CTCAATTAGGAGAGTTGCTACATTTGACTTTTTAGCAATAATAATCTTATGCAACCAACTAATACAATTGAAAAGACAACTCACAAGAGATATTTTCACAACTTTTTTCTACAGCCAAACAACGGCAAAATTACAAATCACCTGAACACCAGCGAAAAAAAATTCAGGCACATGATGAAATATAGAAGTGTAGAACTAGATGGCGCATTTCAGTAGTACTAGCTAGACTGTTTTGGGTATACAGTACAAAGGCATAGAGCTTCCAAGTTCCAACGGTTGGAGTCCGATCCGTAGTGTTTGTTCGTTATAACTACTGTCAATTGTGAATTTAAAAGTGAGTTGAGTGAACAAACTGAAGAAGGAAGCTCAACTGAAAACAGCATCCATCCTTGAGCGAAATCCTGGACGAAGACGACGACGGCGGCGGCCACTGCTACTTCAGTTTGTTGGATTGGACGATCTCCGCGGCAGGGATGTTGTGTTGTCTCTACATGCATGTTGGATCCCATCCCACTCCCAACCCATGGGCCATGGCTGCGACGTTAACGTTGCAGCTGCCGGCTACACCGACCATGTCCTGCTGCGCAGCAGGGACGACGGCCGCGCGGACCGGCCACCGGCGAACATCTCATCGAGGGCGATGACGAGGCCCATGGCAAGCGTCGCGCCGAGGCGTGGGTCTGCCACCAGGCGGAACACGTCGTCCCCCACCACGGCCTCCTTCCGGCGGACCTCGGCCACCACGGCGTCCCCGTGCGTGTCCCGCACGGCGCAGGCGCGCAGCCCGTACGAGCCCTCCACCACGTACGATGCCTCGGCCTCGGCGGTGGTGCGGCGGCCTGACGAGGAGGAGGCTGGCACAAGGGGCGTCACGTAGGCCAGCGCCTTCTCCTTCGACGACGCCCTTCTGTGGCGGCGCACGGAGAGGAGCGGCTTGCTGTTGCTGCGCTCCGCCTCGGCATCCGAGGCGGCGTCGCCGTCGTAGATGACCCAGCGCTCCGCCATCATGCCGAGCCTCCTCTTGCGGCGGACGGTCAGGAGCGGGGTTCCCGTGGCGTCCATGAGCACGACCTCGGCGCGCCGGCGGCCGGAGGCGTCGTAGGAGTCGACGCGGAAGGCGAGGTCGCCGCTGGCGTCGTAGACGGTGAAGCCATCGCAGTTGAAGAGCAGCGACTTGCACCACACCGTCAGCACCGTGGGCGGCTCAGCCTCGTCGGGCGCCGCCGCGCTGCCTGTGCACGCGCCGCTGGTGCTGACCGGGACTGGGTGTTGGGGTGCACCTTCGTCTTGGGCATTTTTCTTGTCCCCCGGCTGGACTCGCTCGATCTTGTGGTAGCCTGGCCGGGTAGGGTAGGGACGACGTAGGGTACCTCCCTGGACACAGAGGCCTCCGCGTGCTTGTTGTGTGTGGCGGAGCTTGGGGTCGAGTGATTGGCTTGCCGACCGGATTGCAGAGGTAGAAGAGGAGATCGATGGCAATTTATATAGGATCGTTGTCGCTGTGGTGGGCGGACGAGACAAGGCGGCCGACGGCGGAACATGGCGCAGGGATCGCATTCGCACGTTACCCTTGGTCCAGGCCCCTGGGCTCATCAGGTCAACACAGAGCAACGCACGCGTACACTGCTCCTGCGGGCCCATGTTTGGCCCTGTGCATGTAATGCCCTTTCCCTTTCAAAAAACTTCATCTGAGCTCCATTAATTAGAGAATCAGATTTTTAGACCCTTCTAACTCTTGAAAACGTTCGATTTACCTTGCGTGCAGTTCTGAAAGTGGTTTTGACTGACGTTGTGCCACGTCGGTCACGAAGAAGATCAGTTAGAGACTTAGAGGTCAGTTATAGAGGTCACGAGTAGATGATCTTTCGTGGTAGTTTATAGAGTTCAGTTAGACTTACCTCGCTCAATTAGAAAACCAAATTTCTGCACTCTAACTCCGGAAACTGTCCGATTTGACATCGCATCACGTCAGCCATCTTTACATGGTGCCACGTCAGCCACGAGAGAGACAAATCGGACTTTCACAATAGTTTAGAGAGGTCAATTAGACTATAAAAAATTTATAGAACTATTTTTAAAGAAATCCAAATATTCTTTCTATAATAAATATGCATTCAAAAATATTAAACTCTGATTTAATATTAGAAAAATCATACAAATTTTTTAACTGAATCATGTTCTATATTTTCCTGAGCTAGGAACCACAATCTATAGCATGATTTTAGGAAACGCATGAACTCCGGCATCTTGAGCCCGTCTAAACTGCCTTCCTGCTTGATCATGTGCTCCCGGTGTATGCATAGACCTACGTACGACAGCGACAACGAACGAGGGAGCGGTCATAGAAGTCGGTTGGTAAGTCTGAGAAGTCGCATGCCGACTGTTGGTGATTGTCCAATGAGTTTGCACACGTTGTGGTTGTGATGTCTCCTAAAGAAGACAATGCTACTATAAAGTTATTAAACCACATGATACATGTTGCTAATGCGTAATCAAAGTTCTAATTATATGTTTTATTTGGAATTTCTCGTGCATGTCTCGATGGTTAATCAAGATATTGCTGCTGAGGAAATGTTTTTTTTTGTAGTTTCCACGGTGATCTACGCTACGGATTTATCTTGCCTGTATCCTGCATTTCATATTTGGTCTAATTTTCACTACTACACACTTTTCTACAGGCGGGCGTTTCTGGTTTTCCTAGGCAAGCAACACGTCCGCCTGGATGAAATGGACTGCGTTAATCAGCTTTTTCCGAGGTGGTCGCAGTGGCCGTCTGCAAAAATAGGCTTTTCTCGAGGCGGGCACAATGCCCGTGTGCGAAAATCTCTACAACTAAAATATACGGATTGTCAATATCTACCCGGCAGGACCAAAACACTCATGCGATCCATGTCCGGCAAGCAAATAATCACCGCATCTTATGCGATCCATATCCGGCAGAGAAATAATCACCGCACGGAGACATTAGAAGGCAAGTAAATAAAAATGGAATAAAACTCACGGAATCACCGGCAGGCAAATAATCACCGCATGGAGACAGCGGAAGGCAAGTAAATAAATTGGAATAAAACGGAAAGAGAATTATGGGAAGAGAAAGAAATTTATTGGAATATCACCACGCAATGATCATGATCGTGATCCAAATCTCATTCGTCGTCCTGCGCGTTGCGTGTTGACAACAAATACTTTTCCCCAAAAAATGAATTATTGCTATGCCTCATGCGGGCTAGGATATTGTAAGTCCAAGTATGCATGTTTTGGCAAAGCAGAGCATAGATAAATTCAATTCGATGTCTAGCAATAAATTTTTAGCCTTTAAGGCAACAGATGTTTGTCGTAACATTCAGACAACAAGCTCCAAGCCTAGCTTTTATTTCAGATTCATTACGATAATGAATTTGTTTCTAGACATTATCATGGTATAATACACGTGAAAAATTGAATTGATATATTCTTGATTTTGACTTGGCTAACAAACATCTCATTCAATTTATTTTGCACCCGTGGGCACTCATCTAGTAGGTTTAAAAAAAGGGCACATGCCCAACACCGAGCCCGCTACCGGGAACGCCACCGCCGAGCCGCTCCCGAACCACACCGCCGCCCACCGCCGAGCCCGCTCTCAGATCTGCGCGAGCATTCGGTGCTCCAAGCCGGATCCGCCACCGGAGGTGGGGTTGCACGCGCCGCCGCTGGAGTAGATCTAGAGGCCACCGGTGGAGGAGAAGATCGCACGTCGCCAGAGGAGGGGCCCCGTGCACAGCAGGAGGAGGAGCCCCGCGCCCCACCACCATATGTGCATATCTAGATCGAGGCCGCCGCCGGAGGAGCAAAAGGAGGCCCGCGCACCGCCGGAAGAGGCCTGCACGCCGCCGTTGGAGAAGGAGGAGGCCCACACGCCGCCAGAGGAGCAAGAGGAGGCCCGCTTGCACCGCCTTTGCCGCCGACGGAGAGAGAAGCGAGAGCTAAGAGACAGAGAATGTGAGATCGGGGAAGAAACCATAACTCCCTGTATTTATATAAGCCCGGTAGAAGGTTTGATTTGGGCTTCGGTTGGGCCCCAGGGGTATTTTAGGAGGCGGGTCTTTTAAGAGGTCCGCCTGCGGAAATGACCTCCATTTTCGGAGGCAAGCCTCTTCCGTACATTAATTTTAGGAGGCGGTCAAAATCTAACCACATGCGTAAATAAAAGGTCCGCCTCCATAAATCACTACTAGAATCTCGCATTTTTCTGTGTGTGCGAAAACACACAGAAAAATACGAATACCGTCCAAAAAATACACACGGAAATATAATGACAGAAAAATTCAATTGTTCTGTGTGTTCACCGTCACAAACAATTTTTCTGTGGGTGTTACACGCATAGAAAAATTGCGTTAGCCCATATTAAATTTAAATGTTGTGTGCGTTGATTCTCACAGAAAAAAAGAAAAGCCCGACAGGAAAATGATTTTTCTGTGGGTGTTACACGCACAAAAAAATTGTGTTTTTATTTTTCTGTCGGTCTCGGTTAACGCACAGAAAAATAACAGACCACCGACAGAAAAAAACCCTTAACCATACAGCAAATTGGATATAATAATTATATACAAACAGAACAGTAGCAACAACATATTAAATATGGACTGTCCATACTGTAATTTTATCACAACATAATAGATAGTATACATATAAAGATCCAAATGTTCAGCACATTCATTAATGGCATCCAGGCTACATATAGATGATGTCCAAATGGTCCAGCATCAATACATTCAAAAGCATTACCATCTCATCTCAACAGTTCAAGTCTCAGTCAAGATGAGTAAAGTACCGGCATGCATCATTGAGTCATATTATAGCTAAAACTAAATCTAACAGATTAGAGCCACTACTAGTTAATGTGCAAAAGCACAACTCTACAAAAGAAGAAACCACCATCACATCCATGTTTTGCAACTAAACACAACCATCACATTATCGATGCATGATCGCTATTGTTGTCGGAACCTTGATTGTTGTCAGCGTTTGCAGCATGAAGATCCCCATTGGTGTGGCTGCAACATTGAACCAGTATCAGCAATCAATAGTCAGGATAAGTTAAATGGCCTGCTTGTGATAATACTTACATCATGAGCACCCATTGGTGGAAATCTAGCTGACTTAGGGATGGATTCAACAAGCGGACCATTGGCAGGTGGAGGTGCTCTTGCTCCATTGGTAGGAGCAGCACAAGAGTGAGCAGTAAAGAGTGTCTTGATGTCAGAGTTTGGTCTAGGGTTCTTGCAGAGCTGATGTTGCCAGTTCAGACTGAAAGGCATTAGAAAGAAAGAAATAAAGCCCAGTTAGCCTCACCTTTTACATGCACGAAATGTGCTTATGGAAGCACCGCTAGACTTGTAGGCATAACAAGTAGAGAAATCCCAATTGTTGCATGTATGGATACGACCTTACAATAAGGGAAAAAAGGATGGTATCTTCTATAACATAAGCATCTAAAGCTAGAGCCGCTATAAAGTGATAAAATTTCTTTGCACATTGTCGATAAAAAGCTGGTTACTTGGGATAAACAGGTAGAGATGTCCAAATCACATGAAAACAATCCCAAAAGAACCATATCAAGAAGATTCTATAGTGCTGGACAACCAGGAGCAATAAAAATTAAATTCTACCATACAATCTAATTGAATTGATACCAAAGAGCACCATAGAATTTCTGTTCACAAATTGCATTCCAGATATTTTAAGGAAGCAAATATGTGTTATTAAACATATCAAAATGAAACCATCAAAATCACAACAAGGGACCAAGAGTAGCGTAGTGATGAGTCGGTCACCTATTAAGGGCCTCGAGGTACTTCTGCTTGCGGCTCTCAAAGAAGATCTTCATGGAGTAGCAGTTGTCCTCTAGCTTGGTGAAGCCGCTGAGGTACCTCTCCACCTTGTCCCACTCGCCACCCTGCACGAGGTCCTCGAAGTGCTTCATGTTGAAGTAGAAGCCCGACTCCTGCTCCAGCCTGCACGGGCAACCGCAAAAAGCATCAGAAATCCCAGCTCACCCAACACAGCAAGGCTCCAAAAACCCCATTCATGATCATGGCGAGTACTCACTTGTGCACCGTCTCCTTGAACTTCTCATCAAGGAACTGCAGGATGAGGAAAACTAGCTCCCTGCTAAGAGACGACATGGCTCCCCCGATCCCAGCCGGAGCCTCCAGCTCTCAAAAACCCGCCTAAACCTCGGGCCGCCACCCATGCAGACATTGAAGGTTGCTACTGCTACCTCACTTATAGTGCCACAATACTTTCCCAAAAGTACCACAAACTGATAAACTACTGAATTCTACATTTTCACAACCACAATTGAACATAGTTTTGCAATTCAGTTAGCCAAATCAACTTGGATCATGATTCCTGCCTGACCAAACCATGCTTTAAAATGTTGGCATTAACCTATTCTCAAGTGCATGCTAAGGTGCAGGACAATTCCACTGATTGGGGAGGCTGGAGCACTGAGAAGCCAACAGGCGAGGCAACTGTATCTGGACAACTAGCTGAAATGGATACTTGGGCTGATAAGGGTGCTAAAATGGATTCAGATGCAGCTGATGATAATTGGGAGAAGAAGTCCAACACTCCTGAGGCATCAAATAAAAATGACCCATGGGGCAAATCAGAAAATACATGGGACAAAAGAAAAGAAGATGGAGGTGATGGTGCCTGGGAGAAGAAGTCTGATGATGGCCATGGCAATTGGGAGCATCCCAGCAACTGGAATGGGCAGAGTTTGAATCTAGATCAGGACACGTGGGGAAATGCCAGGGGCAAAAAGAAGGCAGATGGTAACTGCCAATGGGAGGAGCAGCCAAGCACTTACAAACGGAAGAAGACAAATGCTGATCATGATTCCTCCTATAACAATGTGATTCTGGTAACAAGGACTGGAAAGCAGGTGGATGGGGTGCCAAATCTGGTAACTGTAGCAGCCAAAGAAACAATCATGTTTGATGCCAAATCTGATAACGGGAGCAGCACAAAGTAAAAAAATATGGAATTGGAAAGAAGCACACTCCTAATAAAACACTAAAGCCTAGCCTTCTACAACGCATATATTATTCACTTAGAAGACCACAAAACCGGTTGTCAGAATATATGTGACTAGCAACTATTTCAGACGCACCAATACCACTACTGCCCAATCAAGGATATCTGTAATTTTGAAAGTTCCTGATCGTGGAAAGGTGGATGGAGATGGTGGGGTACCTAGCAATGTGGCGCTTTCTGCCACCAGCAGCCTGTCGCTTTAGTGTCGTGTCTGCAGCACATGATTAAAAAATATTGATATCCAACTTTCCAGCAAGATATATGAGATAAAAACTTCAGAGTCGAATCTGGGACATATAGAGAATGTTTCTTATATGATTTGTACTAGGACATCAGGGAAGATAAATTTCTGAAAACATGAAGTACCTATTGACAGGAAGGACCAACAACTTGCAGCTAAATAATCCAACTAGACGTACTCATGTAAGGTGAGTTACAGATTAGATTAATGTATATTAATATTTGGTTGTTGCCTCCACAGAGTACTTGCAGCACTCACCAGTTACCACGTAATAGTCATCATCTTTTCTTTGGGCACCTGTCTCTCATCTCAACACTATTGAAGACATCACTTGCCCCACTCGCTTATCTGTTCGATGATTAAAGGACTGCATCAATCAGTGAAGCTTAACAGCTGTGCATACTTAACAAGAAATGTACACTAAAAACAGTTTTTGAAGCCAGATTAGTATGGAACTTGAAATAAGCATACTCCTGAAACTCTAAAGCATATCTATAGTGTTGTGCAAAATACTAAAATGGTCATAAAGACATGTGTAAACAATGAATTAAGATTCATGCAAATAAATAGTTAAACAACATGCTAGCCTCCCAAATCTTATCAAACCAAATATTTTTTCAGTGCTGTTTTAGCTAACACTTGACAACTTTTATGCATGGAACTTGTTACTGCAGCCCATATCAGGATATATAATGGAACAATCATTCATGTGCAGCTCTAAAAATTGAACCAACAATTTTAGAGTAGCTATAAAGTGGCTAACTATAGGCAGTAGAAAAAAATGCATGTAGGACGACAATCATGTGCTATTGGAGAAATAAAGAATTCATGTTGACTGCACATTACATACCACATCTAATTCTAAAATGAGATTGACAATATGATGGGATAATTACCAATTTTGACAGTGATCTTAGCCTTCAATACGAATTTGACACTAAAAAACTTCAAACTACATGGAGTCGATATCTTACCATTGGAGCACACAACAAGCCTATATCCGGAATGTGATGAACCGGATTGGAAATGAGTGTAATCAGATCTGCAATGTTGTGCAAAGTATGGAATTAAAAAAAATCTCACATATAGATGAACAACTTGTAATCAGAACAATAGTTAAAACAGACACGCCACATCATTATGAACTAAAGTATTAATGCTGTTCTGTTGCGACTGAACTATATGTCTGAACCAAATGCAATGGCCATACAGTACAACAACATATGCGCCGGGGAAGAAGGCCGGGGAGGGGCGGCGCCGGGGAAGAAGAAGGCTGGGGAGGGGCGGCGCCGGGGTCCACCAAAACCACGCCATCACCACGAAGCCCGCCGCCACGCCGCCCACCGCCCGCCACCACCAGATCCCAGATCCGGCCTCCACCGGCCAGATCTGAGAGAGGGAGGGCTGGATCCGGGAGAGGGAGGGGCGGCGCCGGGGACCACCACCACCATGCCAGCACCACGAAGACCGCCGCCACATCGCCCGCCGCCCGCCGCCCGCCACCACCAGAGCCCAGATCCGGTCGCCACCAGCCTCCACCGGTCGGATCCGGGAGAGGGAGGGCCGGATCCGGGAGAGGGAGGGGCGGTGACGGATCATGGCGCTAGGGAAGAAGGGGAGGGCGGCGGCAGGGAGGGGAGGGGCGCTGGGGGCCGGGTGCCGGGGAAGAAGAAGGGAGGGGGCGCTGGGGTCCGGGTGCGGAGGAAGAAGAAGGGAGGGGGTGGGGGCGCTCGGGTAAGAAGAAGGGAGGGGTCCTGGTCGTTTGAATTTTTCCGTGCGCGTGTATGTTTTTTCTGTGCATTTTAAAATAACCGGCAGAATAATAACATTTTTTCTGTGTGTGCATATATTTTTTCTGTGCGTTTCTAAAGAACCGACAGAATAAGTTGCATTTTTCTGTGATTGCTGATTTTTTTCGTGCGTGTATTGTCACGCACAGAAAAATTATACAATTATTCTGTGGGTTTTTGTATTTTTCTGTCGAGATATTTTGAAACCGAAAGAAAAATCATAATTTTTCTGTGCGTGCCAAAAAAAACGCACAGAAAAATTCATCACCCACAGAACAATTTGAGTTTCCAGTAGTGAATCCATTTTGTGAGATGGGCAATTGTGATCGCCTCCGTAAATAAAATGACCATCTCCGAAAATCCTCAGGTATTTTAGAAGACGGTTGCATTTTGTGACCGCCTGCGTTAATGTTTGAAGAGTGTCTTGCAAAATTATTTTTTAGTAGTGTTTAAATTTTCGAGACCATATAAGATTCAAATAATTATGTACAAGAGAAAATAGGGTGGAGCATGATTTTGGGGAAGGTTTTATATTTTCATGAGTTAAAACAAATTTTCGAGAATTTTTAATATTAAATTATATTTTTAATATTTATTTAATCTAGATAGATATTTGGATAATTTTGTGAAGATTATTTTTATAATTTTTTATAAAGTCTAATTATCCTCTCTAAACTATCACAAAAGTCTGGTTTAGCTCCCTCATTGCTCATGTGGTGTCACATCAATCAAAACTGCTTTCAAAACTTCTTAGGGAGATAAATCGTACGGTTTGAAGAGTTGAGGGTGTATAAAAATCGAACCTGTCGGGTGTGGCACTGATCCTGTAGTGCTCTGATGAGTATCATTGCCGTGTTAAAGCATTAACCAAATTTCATGTGCCGTGTTTAAAGTGGACACTTGGTTAAACATATCCATGCTAAAAGATTCAAATAAGCAATTTTTAGCTCTAGCATTGAAATGAATTTCCTTTTCTTCACTCTTCATGGGTTTATCGGGATTCTTAATGGGTTTCATCCCGTCACGAGTAACTCTCCAAACTCCCAAATCAACTGCCTCAAGGTAGCAAACCATTCTAGCTTTATAATAGGGAAAGTTAGTACCGTCAAAGTGCAGAGGACTAGAGGTATCCATCCCAACCACTCTAAAAAGCGTGAGCTCAACGGTGGTTAAGTTAAAGGTCCAAATTGAGCCAACCGGCTCTGATACCAATTGAAGGGGGACCGAGACGCCTAAGAGGGGGGGGGGGTGAATTAGGCAACTTAAAATTCTAACTCTAAACTATGGCCTCTTTTTCTAACCCTAGCAAAACCAATGCAAAAGATAAACTATCTAAATGTGTAACTATGGTTTTGCTAGTGTGTAGCTATCTCTACCGCAAAAGAAGTAATGTAGTCAATGTAAATGCGGAAGCTAAAGAGCAAGGTAGAGATATGCAAACTCCCGTCGACGAATCCAGCATTTTTACCGAGGTATCAAGAAGCGTGCAAGCTTCCCCCTAGTCCTCATTGGAGCCCCTCACAAGAAAACCCTCGCAAGCATCTCCCGGATGCTCCCCGCCGTCTTCACTATCAAGCTTCCGGCCGAAACGCCGCGGGCCTTGTTCCCTTTGGTACACGATGGTGGCTACACCACAAACGTGGTTGGTGTGATCTCGCAAGACTATAAGCCCATCCGATATACAACAATTGTGCGCGCAAGCACCGAGTGGTAAGAGGTATGCAAACCTCACTAAACGCTAGGCCTAAACCTAGAGCAAGCGCATAAGCGGTGGTCTAATCAACCTAAGCACTTCGCAAAGCACCTACGCTAATTTCCTAATAAAACACTAAGCACCGTGCAAGTGGAGATCACTAAAATTGTGTATCTACACCCTTGATATGTTTCCTCAGCTCCACTACTCTCATTTGGCCGGTTGGGGGTTGTATTTATAAGCCCCACTGAGAAAGTAGTCGTTGGGGATGAAATCCCGCTTTTCTGCTACTAACCGGACGCTGATCACGTCCTGACCGGATGCTTCCGGTCGTCTCGACCGTTAGAGCTACAATCAACTAATCGGACGCTGCCAGCGTCCGGTCACATGCCACCAGACGCGTCCAGTCGCAACTTCGCCACTTTGGAACCTCTCTGTACTTGACCGGACTCTGCTGTCCTGCGTCCAGTCGATTTGCCGCCAGCGTCCTGTCGTTGCTGCTGACGCCTGTTTGCCGAGCATCTTGATCGGAGTGTCTGGTTGCTTTTCGCCAGCGTCCGGTCACCTCTGTGAGCTCGTTTCTTCGCGATCTTGCGTACGGCTTGGTTCCTATCTTCGTGCTTGGACTTTGCTTGATATCTTGGGTCTTCTCTTGTGCTCCTAGGGTCTTCCTTATGGTGTTGATCATCGGATCATCACGTCGCCTTCGTCCAAGTCACGTCTTGCACCCTATTGAACTACAAAACAATCACTTGCAAATTCATTAGTCCAATTTGGTTGTGTTGGTCATCAGACACCAAAATCCAAAGTAAATGGGCCTAGGGTCCATTTTCCTTACAATCTCCCCCCTTTTTGGTGATTGATGACAACACGACCAAAGCAAACAAATAATAAAAATTTGGAATTTAAAAACTATCTACTTGCTAGGATGCAATGCAAGGGGTAACATTATATGATGCTAAAAGATACTACTTGTAAGACTAAAAAATACTACATGAAAATTTATCTTGCCCTTGCAAATGTCCCCATGTGGCATTATGGATTTAAGCCTTGCTTCCTACAAATTCTCCCCATTACTTAGACTAATCCATAATCACTATCCTCCCTTTCTCGGACCATTACCACTTGTAAATTAATATGATTTATCTTTTGGTCCTACAAATTAATGCTTGCTTTTGGTCCTCTAAATTCTCCCCCTTTGGAATCAAACACCG